GCATGCACTTCAGTTGCGGCATTGAAAAAAAAAACACATAGCCAAACACACTCACATAGAGAAAATCCTGCATCAGGATTAAAAATGCAGTGCATTGAATTTGCACGAGGCAGCCACCTTTGCCACGCCCCCTACGCGCAGGCAGGCCGCACATTTCGCAACAAATAATGATGCACTTGAAAATGTTTTGGAGTGTGTGTGTGTGTGTATGTGTGCACAACAACAACATCAATAAGAGAAGCAAAAAATCATTAAAAGCAGTCCCTGCTCGGGCGCCCCACCAGCACGCCGGCAAAGCTGTGTCTGGATTACATTATTAGAGAATCTGCTTCATGCCTCGAATATCCACACCATTAATATTTCACTTAACGCTACAATTGTCCTGAGAGCAACTGCCAGCATGCAGAGTAGCAGCCCACACCTGCGCCCATACCTACTACACCTACAAAGTCACCGACTCCCCCCTCTTAATTGCCCTAAAATGTTTAATTTATTTTATGCGATTTCACTCAGCTCCAGTTTTAATTATGAGCACGGCTGTTCTGAATAGGGCAAAGAGCAGCCCACAGCGAAGTGGAGCCCAGCCACAGCCCAGCAGAGAGAGAGAGGGAGAGAGCGAGAGTGGGGAGAGATGGGAGCCAGTCAACTGACTTGTGTAATTTGTGCATAAGTTTAATTTACTTTGGGGGCGACATAATCTTCAGTTGCTTACTTATCCTGCCCGTTGGCTAATGTCGGGCCTGCCGCCAGTCGCTGCTGTTCCAGCCGCCTGGTGCCTGGTGACGGCCGCACTGGGCGTCGTCTCACTCAAAAATCGTCTCAATGGCCTTGTCAGCATAGCGGCGCTGTGATTATGCACTTGATGTGATGTGCATAAAGCTGAATTTTAATTACGAGTAAATATTTAAACCATTAAGCTTGAAAGGTGGACCGGCTGAGTGGTTCCAGATACAGATGCTCTGGCATCTATGCAAAAAAATTGTCTATGCTGCGACAGTTCACATTTGCGAACATCACTGTAGAGGGTTAAATGTTCGACGAGCCCGAAGGCTGATTGAGGTTTATTTAATAAAAAACGATTTTCATTGTATTAAATTAGCTTGTTGTTGTCAAAGTTGAAATTTATTAGCACTTTTAATTATGGTGCATATATTGAAAAAAGTTGCAGCTTCAATTGACGATCATAAATTTTCAGTCGGGCCATTTAATGCAATGGCTGACCAGGCAATAAAGAGCAAAAAAAAAAAACAACACAAATTAAGCGACTTAATTAAAATAAATAAAACTTCTACATGAAACATAAAAAAAAAAAAAAATTGAAATAAAAAAGTCGATGGCTATTATTTGTATTTGCCTGTTTTTGTTTTTGTTTGAATTATTGTGTGGTAAATGCAAGTGCAAATATATATTAATTGCGAATGGTTCAGCTCCGACGCGGCTCGGCTTCAATTAAAAGTTTGAACAACATTCATCAAACCGCTTCAATGAGTGTCGATAACAGCCGCTCCAAGAGAATGCGTACATAATAAATAAAATACACAAAATGCGAAAAACAAAAAATAAAATTATAAAACATCAGCCATCGATCGCAGCAATGGCTAACTTTTCCACAAAGCCACAAAGCCGCAAAACAAAAAAAATGCCTGCATACACAAGTGGTAAAAATAATTGTATTTGTTCTTAGTTGGAGGAGCATGGTGCCGGACAGGTCCTATTGAAATGGCCGCTGCTGTTGTTGCCATTGACGCCAGCTAGCTCTACTAAAATGCAGCCTGCTGTTTATGTGTATTAGCATGTTAAAGCAGTTGGCAGTGCTCCGACGTTGTCCTGTGCTGTCATGCGGCCGGGCTGGAGTGTGTCGCCTCTTGAAAGTAATAGCCAAAACGAAAGAAATCTACACCCAGCCGCCCATTACTGCCGCTTGTCCCCACGTTGTTAACGTAATTTCCATAAAACATTTTGTTACTTATTTATCTTAATTAAAATAAATTTACATTTTTCTAATTTAAGAGCGCGACGGCAGCGGCAGCGGCAGCGCCAACGTGCCAGTGGCAGTGGCAGCGGCAGTGGCAACACCAGCACCAATACCTACAACGACTTGTCAGCCCTGCTCTCCTGCCCCTGACATTTCTGCCGAGCGCAACTTGCTGGGCATTAGAGAGCGACATTTTCTTAACAAGCCCAAAGGACACATGCCAGATCACGGACGAGCACGAAGCGTGGAAGGATGGTCAGAGACGAAACAACATCAGTGACAACGAGAGGAAAAAACAAAAAAATTGTATGTAATGGAAAGTTGCCTCCGCACTCTGCGTTTGGATCTCATTAGCGTTGCTAGGGGAAAGTGGGCCGCAGGCGGGGCGGGCAACTAGAGTGGTCGTCTTTTCAGTTGAGCCCGGGCTGCACGTTGTTCTTGTGTCGTTGCCGCATAAGTAGCAGCCAGTGCTAGCCAGGTCCATTCCGAGTCCCAGTCTCAGTCTCAGTCCCACTCTGGGTGCACAAAAGGCATAAAGAAAGAAAAGTATTGCTTTACTCCAAGCCCGGCCCTGGGCCCCTTCTCTGTCATGATCCTGGTCTTGGTCCATCAGGAAAAGCATAAAATTAAAAGCTGACAAGCGAAATAAAAAGATTTTGCGTATTTGCGCACACTTTGTAGCCGTTGCCAGCATCCTGATGCTAATTCAATACAAAATGTTTGCCAGCACAACTATGGGCGAGGGGTCGTGCGGGTGCAGCCCAACAGGTGAGCTAATGAGGGTCAGCTAACAGGCATCGAATTGAAAAAATCAATGAATAGCATAGAACAAGATAAATACTAAGTAGCAAGTCTTTGAACAGAGACGAGAAAATCTACATTTCCATCAAATTAACTAATTCGACCCACATTTTTTATTGGTTTGTAGACATAATATATTATTCGAAAGACTTTTCGAAACACTTTTTAGTTGTTTGTTTAACTTTGTGGTATACGATACGGGGTCGGCAAATACGGCTGATTTAATGAATACTAGTCTATGGATGATCCAATCTAATGACATATCAAATGACGATCTTGCAATATCAATTTACACTCTGCTCATTTGTTTTTGAACAACCTGTACCTAGTTTGTCCAACAGTGTTTCAGCCTTAATGAGATGCTGCATTGTTAAAAGTTTAAGTTAGTTCAGGTGTGCACTCGAATACATATCGAATACAATTCTGGTTGAACGAATTCTTCCAGACACAGTACGCAGTGCAATGAGTGCTCTTAGATGAATACATTTTGAAAAGGAATTTGCGTCAAATAAAATTATGAGTTTCCTATGGACATGTCACATTTCTCTTGCAAGCCCCGGGCGGAAGATAAAGTAAAAGAATATTAAAAGGAAAATATTGATATAAGTATAATCTAATTGATTGAATAGTTAGTAAGAATTGCCTATTGAGTCTATTAGCAATAAAGTCAACTTCCGTATATTAGTCTACTAATATAGTATTTGGTACAGTTGTGTGCGCATTAGCACAAGTTCTGATTAGTCATTACTTGGCCTACACAGGACACAAGCCTGGTGAAAATAAAAACAACAAATCAAAAATCAATACGAGCAACGCCATTTTGTAATGCTGTGTGAGTAAGTAAAAATGCGTCAAATGAAACCAATACAAAACCATAACTAAATCCAAATGTGTGTGTGTATGTGTGTGTGTGTGTGCGTTCGTGTGTACACAACAAGAAATTTGAGCAAGAAGCAGCAGCAGGCATATAAAATCAACAACGCCCGCAACGGGGGAACCTTTTTGCCAGGCCGGAAGGGAGGAGTCAAGCCAGTCGAGCGGGCAAGAGAGGTAAAAATAAAATGAAAAAGTACAAGAAAAAGAAAACAGAAAACAGAAAAATAAAAAATAAATTCAAAGCAAACGAGACTAAAATTATAAAAATTGCCCTCCTGGTGGTGCTATTGCCGAGAGTGCGCGTCCAGGACGATGGACGCGTACGCAAGCGGGCGCGGGCGCCGACGAGGACAAACAAGGCGAGACGAACGCGATTCCAATACGGGACATCAACGTCAACGAGGGTGGCAAACAGCTCAAACCGGAGGTGGGTGATGCTGATGCTGATGCTGATGGACTGGCCGGGCTGGGCTGAGCTCGGTGTGGGCCGGGGTGGTACATAATGTGGCCCGGGCACTGCCGTTGGCCTGAACGGCGCATTAAGCACAGCACTGTAAGAGGTGACCGAGCCAGGGACTGAGCGAGGGTGTACATGGCCGAGGAGGTATATATACCGGTGTACATAAAGCTGTGCTGCCATGGCCCGCAGCGTCAATGGACCAAAATAATAACGACTAACGGCCTGTTAAGGGAAAATGCAGCGAGCAACGGCGAGGTTGGAGGATGTAGGATGGGGCATGGAGAATAGCCTGGTAATAGGTTTGTATGGGTGGCCCAAGGTTTTTTAAGTGGTTGCGCGTGACGTGCACGACGAGCTGACGGAAAAGAGCACGGGTATGGCAGCGGTGGTGCAGATGCCATTGGAGCTGCTGACGTGGTATTTGCTCGCGCTCATTGACGCCAACATAGACAGAGACATCGACGCGGACGCGGATGTGGACGCGGACACGAACCTGGGGCATGGCTGCCGATCGTTATGCCAGTGCCTGGCAATTTTTTTCCACTTATTTGTACACAAAACTCTTGTTACTAGCTGCCATTATGATTTTGAAAAGCCATTGCTTTTTTTCCGTTTTTTACTTGCTTTGCTTTTTGCCGCTCATTGAAAAACTGTGAAATTTTATAATAAGCATTTTTTGCCGCTGCCGGATTATTGTCGATGATTGTGATTGCGTTTTATGTTGTTCCTTTTATTACCAGCCGGGGACTGGGAAATGGTGATGGCTCCTGGCATCTCTTTACACTGGACGCTTCAGTGGGGGCCATTACAGATTTTGTTTCTGTGAGTCTTTTTTTGTATATTTTGTTTGTTATTGGTGCTGTAATATTCCTTTTGAAAAATGTTTTTGTCCGTGGGCTCTTCTATGTGTTTTATTTATTTCCTTTTTTTTTACATTTTGCATTTGTGCTCGTTCGGGCGCTATTGGTTTCAATTTAACTTATTAATTTTAAATGCGATTTTTAATTAAATATTATCAAAGTGTGTCGCGGACATCATTAGGCTAGCAGCAGGCGCGGAGGGAACGCAGAGGCACTGAGGCAAAAGAGAGAGGTGAGAGCTTGAAAGCTTAGTTCCTGTAATAGGTAGTTTTGAGCAGGGCAAAGAACTGATACGACATGCTGATCACCTACAAGCAATACAAGAGCTATGATAATTGAAGCTGAGCTCTGGCAGCCGCACTCACCTTCATGTAGGTAACCAGCGAAATGGGCGGAAATGTGGGTGGACGTATCATGGCTGGCTTCTGGCTGCGCAGAATCATCATCTTGAGCATTATGCAATATCTTTTGCTGCACTGAAACCAGTTCTGATTGTAGGCCGCATCGCCCACACGCAGACTCTGCAAAAGGTATTTTGCTTTTTTAAAAAAATAACAGCAGACAGAAATATGCTCGTCACGTACTGCTGCTATCAGAGCATCGCCGTAGTAGCACACTAGGAAAACCTGCACCATCGATGTCATCAAGAAGATGCAGTAGATCAGAATTACCTCAATCGTGGACTCGGTCACTTGGAACGCAATGAAGCAGATCTGCATGGAGGCCATCAGAAAGTTGAGCAGCAAAGAGAAGCTATACATGCTGTCGACGAGTTCACAGAGCCTGTTAGAGATGATATTGCGGCAAAGCAGGAATGCAATATTTAAACTAGTTAATTTGAGCTTATGCCACTCACGTCAAGCATTTATCATGATATTTGATCAAGGTTGCCAAAAAGCGCACATTCTCCGCGTCCTCATCTGGATTGCAAGGATGCGCTTCAAGACGTGTGGCTATGTAGCTGAAGTGCATGCAGAGTTGGGTGATGACAACGACGAGTAGAAGATCTGCGCAGAGGAAGGCAGTGCCGGCCAAATATGCTCCATGCGCAATATCCCAATAGGTAATCCAATAAACCCAGTTTTTAGTAGTTGCATCGTAAGGAAACCAGATGAGAAAGCCAAAATTACGATCGAATGTCTCGTAGCCGAGGAAATTATACTTGACCGTCGCCTTGATGGCCGGATACAAAGTGAAGGTGGTCGTGTACGCCAGGCAAAGGAATGTGAATATGCTTATGACGCGTTTCATGGTGTGCTCAAAGTCTGCCAGTTTGTAGGCCCTCTGTGCCACCAGCGTCTTCGGGTGCATCTCCTCCAGGTCATCCAGCAGCCGTATCAGCGTGTTCTTATACAACGCCATGGTCAACTGCTTGCAGTCCGCCACCAGGGAGAAGCCAATGCAGGGAGCTACAGCAATTGCCAAACGCACTGTCTCGAAGTCCTGAATCGATTTGTAAAAGAACACCAACTCGCCACAGACCAGCAAATTGAAGTTGATGAATCCCGCGTACAAGTAGATCTTGAGCAGCAGCGATCTCAGCGGGTTACTGGACCGATGCGCATAGATGTCCTCGCCAATGGTCTTGTAGAAACGCACGGGCATTCGCATCATGTCGCCAAAGGTGCGCGGAGTCTCCACCAACGAGCCGCTCATTGTGCTGTTCACTTCGTTGTAAGGATCTAGGTATGCTTTTTCTAACTGTACGGGATATGGTCGCAACTTGACATTTATATAGTCTGATTAGCTGCAATGAACTGGGCGTGGCTGTCAACTTTTTGTGCCCCATCATGTCGCCTGGGCCAAGTGTTGATAATTGTGCGTAAACTTTTTAACTTGTATAAGTATTCCCCACTAAACGGCAGACTTTTCATGTAATTAGCCGTTGGAGCTGTGAAGTTTTACAGCTGGAAAGTTCCCATAATTTAGTCAGAGTTGACTGACTAGTTGGCCTAAGTCACAGCGACCATTGCTGGCCGTTAATCAATGCTATACACAAATTTGCAAGCCAAGTTAATTAAACTTTACAAAACAACGACGCTTGAACACTCTTGAAAATTGTCCAAAATTCAAAATAAAACTAGTATTAAATACGAAATCTCAAGTCAAGCAAATCAATTATTAATGTTGTGTTGTTGCCGCAGAGAATGGTTTTAATTAAGAGGGTATTTTGTATCAACTACTATTAATTGTAATTCCTGTGTTATAATTCAGATGGGTGAATTGGTTCAATGAATATTTGCGTGTAACGTAATATATTTTCTGTTAATTCATAGAGTTCAGTTTAATTAACTAGAAAAGCTTTAAGATCAGCCACACTTAAATCTTTGGGATAAGCTGCTGGTTCGACGATGATAAAAGAGTTATCATAAAATTAATAAGAGATCAGAAAAATGAAGTCCATTAACTGGACTGAAATGAAGTAAAATGTATTGTAGCACAAACTTAGCACGAAAGTAAAAATAGAATTTAAAACAACAGACTTAATTTATACATCAAATTTATCCGCTTGGTATTATTGGTACAAACAAAATTGTGATGTGGTCGTCATTAAGAATAAAACGTATCATACAGAGAATAGAGAATGAGAATTCATAATTCATTATTCAGAGAATGAGACTATTTTGCACATCCATTTGAAATTTTTCATAATGGTAATTTGACAATCTAGAGTATAAGCATACGCATTGTTTGCGTATATGTTTCTATACGTGAATTACATGACAAAGCTGAAATGCCTTAGCTCGTGTTTGGAAACCAGGTCTAGTAGTACGTGCCCAGACTGCAAGGCCGAAACGAAATTATGAATAGCCAGTTAGAGTCCCAAATTGGAACTTGGCCCGCTCGAGTGCCAATGAATGGATTTGCCTGCACCGAACTAACTGAAGGGCAAGCTCCGATTTTATTATTTTCTTTTTTTTTTAGTTTTCATATTTCCATTATGGTAAATGTGTTCAAGTTGAATGAAATGAAAATAATTTTTCTTGTTATCCTGCCTCCTGAGCGCAAATTGAGCAGAAAATAACTAATAAAGTCGAACGTTGACGTCGCACGACATGAATAAAATGCAAAGTCGGCTTTATAAATGGCTCAGAGCAGGCGGCCAAGAAACGAGGGATTGCCATGGACCATTAGCAGCACAGAGCGCTGAGCACCGGGCGCAAGGCACGTGCAAAATGGCAACTCAAATTGAAATGCTGCTGCCACAATGGGTAATTTTCGTTTCAATTTTCACAGTTTTGTGACCATCTACCCACCTCCTCATCTACTGTTTTTTTTTTTATTTTTTTGCTCATTTGCAGCATTGAAGAGATATTTTTTGTTTGGAAAAACTTTTGCCTGCAGCTGCGTGTGGCAAGGTGAAAAGTTTTTCGATTGTGTTGTACAAATGCTAGAAACATATTGAAAAATGGTTTGCATTCTTTTGGCTACAGTTTTTTGGTTTGGGTGTATTAAAAGTTTTGCTGTTTGCATTATTTAATACACCAGCAAGGGGCATGTGACAAGCCATCGCCTGCTCACCTCCAACAAATTGTTAAGGCAAAAGATACTCATGTCGTATATTTCAATGCACGCCTTCATAATTAGCACAGCAGACGTACGCAACGCTCGGCCCGAATTCAATTGCAAAGCACTCAAAGTCATTCACAATTTACTCAGATCCGTCGCTCTTTGACTCAGCGCAGCTCCTGCGAGTAGTTTTGTGAGTGGAGTATAATTTTCGAAGGGGTAATTGAGCGTGAGTGCATCCTGTTTGAGCGTAACTCAAATGTGCGATGTTAACATCGCTGCAATGTTTAATGATTTAACCCCTGCTAACTGTGTGCTATGTTCCTGGAGCAACTGTTCCCAGAGCGATGTCTCGCGCTTGCGATGTGCTTGGGAACAGTTTGAGCATTGCGCCAGATGGCGCTAGTCGTTTTTAAAAAGGATATGCTATGATTTATCAACTAGGATGCACAGATTTGTACGCATTTCAGACGACAGATGGAGCCGGAAAACTTACCCAATCTCCTTTGGTTCAGACCGCTTGCAAAGCGCTTGTTATAGGCCTATTAAATATTTCATTTCGCATATTTCAGTAGCTTTTTCAACACTTTTGTTGTCAGGCCTCAGACTCTCAGCATCTCAGCCCCTCAGTCCCTTGCTGACGCATTGTTTTAAAGAGCCTGCACTTAAGCGCAGATTTTAATTACTTTCCGGCCGACTGGCAACGGCAACGGAAGGCGAACAAAGATGTTGCCCAGCTGGCGGGCAGAGGAGCTTGCATCCTTTTGCAACATTTGGAGAATGCAGTTATCTGACGAGCAGAGTCGGGGGCTAGAGCCCCGAGTCGTGGTCCCGTCATTTGAATTAGCCGCCCGCTTTTGTCACTAGCGAGCAAGCGGGTGAAGCGCCTCAAATGCATTATGTATTCATGGCAGTTGCTAAAAAAGAAAGAAAGAAAGAAAAAAATAAATAAATAAAGCGAGTTCATGTGCGGATGGGGGGTGTGTCAGAGTTAGATGCACCTCCCCAAACCACGCTCACATACACACGCACACACACGCACACAGATGCCAAAGTAAAGGCAAAGAAATGCTGGGCAAGTGCACTTAGCAGCTTGTAGCCGCCCCAGTTGACATTGCCAAACATACACACACACACACACACACACACACATACATTCGCATGTGTGTGGCACTTGGGGGTTGTTTTCCTTGGCAATAAAAATTCGCACATGAGCAAGACAAACACACACACGTGCGCATGGGACAATGGCGGGCAGGAGGAGGAGGAGCAGCAGCAGTTGTTGTTGTTGGCCAAAGTGGTTGCTGCTGCTGTGTGCAACTGCTGTGAGTCATCCCCTGCACCCCCAGCCAGCTGTAGTAGGCCAGCAATTTTCAAATGGCCTAAACGCTCAAGGCGCTGGCAACGCCATCGCAGCTGGCCCTTAAGTTCAGCTTCTGCAATTAACCAGCAACGGCCGACAAGAACAGTGCATGTCCATGTCCTGGCCGCCTTTTGTTTTGCTTTGTTTTGCTGTAGCCCCGCTGCCCCTCCCCCTATAATGCCGCCTCAAGTGCAACAGCAGCAGCAGCAGCCACAGTAATCACAAACATGTAACAAAAGCCTAAACAGGCTCAAGTTAATGACTTGGCAACATGCTGACTGCAGCTTGAACCAACATTTGATGCACCTGTGACTGCGTTTTATTGCATCCTGCCCGCCACACAAACAATGCGGCCTTTGTCTAGGCATGTCTAGGCATGCAGCTGCCGGCTTAAGCTGGAAACCCCTTTCCTGCTGCAGATCTTGCAACAGCTGCCACCGTTGGGAAACAAGGCAAATTTGTCCAAGCTGCGTATGCTGACAAAGTGTCAGTCAACGTTGCGTTTACCATATATCCATATCAGCCACTGTCTGGCCAGCCCGCCGATCCAACAATGAGTGTCTTCCAATTGCCAATTGCCAATTGGGTATGGACCATTGGCGAGTCACGCATGCGCCGTTGTCACCTGTCGGCGGCTGCGACACTTCGCCGCCTGTCGCCACCATTTTTGGGCAAATAACTTGCTTTAAAATCCCGTTACCAGCCAGCGGCTAAAGAGTTGTCATTCAGTTTGTCTCGAGACATGCGACCACCGACGGCGGCGCGGCTTCAGCCTTGTTGCCGGCTCGGCTCTGGTGTGTTGTCGTCTGCAAATTGTTCGCGTCGCTATTATCCAGGGGCATCAATCTCCCAGCCATTGACAGATGCTGCCAGGCAACTGCGCCCGTCCCCTTTACCCTTCCCGCCCGACACCCACCCTCGCCGGACAGCAATTTTATGGCAAGACGAAATTATTTACTCCGCCGCTGCGGCGACTGTGGCTACAATTGTCCATGCGGGAATTGGCCAGCGATCGGTGTAGTGTGTGCCGACTGGATCTGGGATCTGGTTATATGGCAATTTGATTAGCTGGCGGTTTTCAGTAAATTGCAAGCCGCCTTTTGTCTCTTGCCTAATTTAATTTGTGGACTTTTCGCTTTTGACTCCTCTGCGCATTTTATGGCTAGTTGGCAGTTTTTCCTGATTGCTCGCAAAACGTTGACCGCTTTTCGGCTGCTAATTTGGAATTGAGTTGCGGGCGGGCAACTTACAGCTGCATCAGCCAAGTCTCTTGATAATAAATTAATCCTTAGCCATAGCACATTATCAGTGAATGCCACCAGGCAATCGATGTTACTTTCGTCTCGAAAAGATTCATTCATTTTACACAGACACACCAAATATATGTTTTCTTTTGTGTTGTTGCTGATTTCTATGAAGTTGTTTTGGTCACCATGCGATCGGACATCTTTGCCTAAGATTCAGATATTTTCTGTACTTTTCGGAATATCTACCCCTCCTAAGTAGAAAAGGCTTAAATGGACGAACGGAGCATGGCCGACAAATGGCAGCTGGTACACTTTATATAACAACTCAATCATAGTTATTGGCCATAAATTTTAGCTAATGAACACATTCTTTTTTCTTACATTCGATCTTTAAGCTTTCAGTTGACTTTAAGTTGCGGTTTGCCTCATGCCATAACTGAAATGACGACAATCCGCGCAACTTTTCCTATATCAATGCCATACATAAAACGTATAAAAAAACAGGAAACAACTGTTATCCTCGAGATGCCGAACATAAAATACCCTTTAAAGCATACACGTAGCAGACTCTCATATATTATAACTATGCGAAAATTCAAGCTACGTACAATTTTTCCTATCGCAGTAAACACCTTGCCATCTCTCAGCAGCTTTTTTGATAGGATTTTGCTCAGCATAGTGGTGCTCCTTTCACCCTTTGCAAGGGTATTAAAAACACGGGCCCTGCCCAGCCAAGACCTCCCTGTTGGGAGTAAAGGAGAAACGGTCTGTCCAATGCATTTCAGTTGCTTTTGACGCGGTTTTCCCACACAGCTTTCAGCATTTGTTCTGCAACAGCAGTAAAAAAGCAAAAAATAAGAGAGAAAAAAAAAACACAAGCAAATACTTTTGAAAATTTTTAATTACAGCGCTGAAAGCGCCGAAAAAAAAACACAAAATTTTGCAGTTCGCTTTAATTACCGCGGGCCTGACTGGGTAAGAGAGACAGAGTGGAATATGGGGTAAGGAGGAAGGAAGGTGCAAGGGATGGGGCACATTCTGAAGCGGCTGCCACGTTGTTGGCCGACGCTGATGAGGCGCACTTGGATGAAAGAATTGCAGCCGACGACGCAATTATGGCAGCATGGAAATAAAGAAATGTGGAAAAATAATACTTGAAGGTACCTCGCAACATCAACAACCTACAGCAACAAGAACTCTATTTTGCCAGTGGTTGGTTGGTTGGTTGGCTGCTTCGATGTGGTTGGGTTTGGTGTGCTGCTGACTCTTGCATGGCAAGTGGAAATGCGTTGAGGCGTGCAACAACAAGAACAACAATAAGAACACCAGGTAGAATGAGAGTCGGTTGCAGATTTAAACAAAAACAGCATTTCACCTGACTGCCATGCCTCCTTGGAACCATGACTACTACCCAAAAACCCAAAACCGAAAATCAACTGCACTTGCCGAATTCGAGAGGTGGGCAGAGAGACAGTGAGACAGATAGGAGGCTGTCTGCTATCTGCTGCCGGTGCAGTCAGACTCGGCTCATAATTATGCTGACAAGATACATCCATAAACAAGATAAAGATACTTATATCTTTTTTTTTTGCCATCGCCATCGCCAATGCAATGGAAATGAAAATGTCATTAATATAACGCGCCCATTAAAATTGACGCCGAGCGGAAAACTGCAAGCGCCTGGGGAATTGGAGCTTTGCGCTTTGAAATGTGGTTACGGTGGCTTAATGAGGGAACGCTGGCAGTGTGAAGGGAAGAGGAGGGACAGGTGGCTTCAATCGGAAGCTGCTGCTTAAGCATTGCATTTTCAATGGGCTTCATTAGTGCGGTTTTGATTGAAATGCTCTCCAGCGCCAGGTTGCCAATGTACAATGCACAGATACAGTTACAAGTAGCCATAGATAGATGGATGGATATCATGGAAATCGCATTCAAAGCAAGAGATACAATTGCAAAAAATTAGTAAGCACATTGCAGACGGGCTCCATTGGGAATGGGAATTTGATGGCTTAACTGAAGTAGTTTGCCTGAATGAGTAATAAAGCGGCTTCTAATTATAGCCACGACCTGGCAGAGAAAGAAATTCCCTTCACATTTTAAAGTTATGTGAAAATAGTTTGTTTTAGCTTTGAAAAATAAATATTGCGCTTAGATAAACATACAATTTCAATGCCAGTAATAACTAACAATTATATATATTTGGACATTTCAGCTTGGAGTCTGATTCTTCATATATTTATACATGCAACACATCAATATTAATTACAGGCAAGCCACACCCCTAACTCCCGACTTTGGTAATCGCCTTGGCCATCGTTTGCAGCATAAACTGTAATAATTTGCGTCAATTTTTTATAAACAAGAGTCGGCTTTTAAGCCTCGTCATTGTGTTTTGGGGTCTTCAAATGTTGCCTGAGGTTGGATGCGACCGGCGCCTGCGAGAGGCAATTAATCATACGCCCTAATAAACTTGCAACCAGAACAGAACTTGCCATTTTTTTTTTTTTCTTTTTTTTGGCAAATGGATACAAAATGCACGCCCCGATGTCTGTTGCAGACAAATGTCTGCCGAAATGTCCGATGGGCTGGCCGATGCGGAGACACTGGCTGCCAACTGCATGCAGTAGCACAGATATATATGTTAACGGCATAGGATATATTCGTATGTAGGATCGTATACCACAGCTATTTTTTTGTTGGACTGCCTTTGTTTTGGCAACAAATACGAAATTAAGTTTGTGGCTACGGCGTGGGTCAGCTCGCCATTTGCTGGGACACGGCCGACTGCCCAAATTTATGGCACCAACTGGAAATTGATGAGTGGAAAGGGCCTGGTTGGTCGCAGAGAACTGCAGAAATGCTTACCCAATGGCTGCATATAAATTGAACTTACGATGGCTGCAATTCGGCCCAGTACAATTGCACCTCTCCAGCCGGGCACAAGATGGCAAATTCAGTTCTCATCGTTGGCCGCTTGGCCGCTGGTTGTTTTTTGACTGCGCGCTTGGCTGCACCTTTAAGAGCTAGTTAAACACATTTAATTTGCTTTTTATTATGCAAATTCTCTCATTATGCGCCGTCCGTTTTAGGGCAATGTTTATGCCCGAGACTTAATTAACTTGGCTAATTGCTGGGCGCTACCGTTTGCCATTTGCCAGTCGCCAGTTGCCGTTGCCGTTGCCGTTGCTGTTGCTCGCCTCGTGCACTTAATGGCGTGTTAATTGGCCCAGCCGATGGGTTTTAGGCATTTTCATTTATTCGTCTTTTAAATTTGCTACACCTCTTTGACTGAAAGTTTATGTTGCTT